GACCCAACAGCCTTGTGAGGACCCAGTGGCAGTTCATGAATTTTAAAAGATACCCATTACACTGGGGAGAAAAAACAATCCAACACTTGTTTGTATAAGATGGGGCAAGAAGCTTGCATGGCCTGCATCTGTTGAAACAGGGGTGCTGCTCAGTCACTCTGCAACAGGTCACACATGCCTCTGCATTCAGCAGCCCTACTGGCTTGGTCTCTAATCTACTGATTAGAGAATGCTAGAGAGAAATGAGATTTCCTGTTCTGTTGTGTAAAGATGACGCTGGATCCCAGTGAGAACAATCTGCTAAACAAATTCAGCATGGGAAGAATTTTCACTATGCAGCTACTATCACAACCCTCGAATTTTGCCTTAAAAGGTAAACTAAGTTCTCTCTAAGAATTGCCAGTATCAGGACTGGAGGTGGAAGTTCTCAGACCTAAGCCTGGAATTTGAGTCTGGATTAAATCCAGATGTCAGGATCACATCCACTCCCTTGGAAAATTCAGATCTCAATATAGACAGTGGCTTGTGTGTGGGGAAGGGGAATTGTTTTTCTGGCTTGCCCTCTTGTGACACTGACTGGGTGGGAAAAAATTAGGAATATGCACAGCTCTGACTTCAGAAGTGAGTAAAGGGGATTAAATGTTGCTAATGGTACAATTATACACTTTCATTTGGACAGGCTGAGTGCAGAGGGGCTTTGATTCTTGCTTTTCCGGTGAAGTATCTAAATACTCTATGAAAGGAACTAACTGCAGAAATCAACTTGACCCTGTGGCAGGGTTGGTTTTTTGGTTTGTTTTGTTTTTTTCTCCATTTCAATTTCATTTTGGCAGTGGTAGAATAATGGTTGGACTTGATGATCTTAAAGGTCTTTTCCAACCTAAACAATTCTATGATTCTATATCGGAAGCACTTTCTATGGCTTCTCATTTACCTCCCAAACTGATGGAATTTAACCTTTTTTTCCCCTCTTGCAACTTATTTAGCAAAGAAATGGACAAATCATCAGAATGGAATGGGCTTTAGAAAACTAAAATGAGCAGAGGATCTCAGGGTAGCTGAGTGTCTTGCCTTCCCCTGCCACTGCATTACAGGGGCCTTTCAGGCAGATCGAGCTTCCTCTGCTGAATCCATCTGGTACACAGCGCCTCAGGCACCAGCTCCAAAGACTGCTCCAAAACAGTTACAGCTGGGAACTACCCACATCCCAACCTAAACTTTGTCACAGCCAGCTGAATCAATTTGTTCTCACACCAACGCTATCCCCTCAGCTTAAACCATTTTCCTTCTCTATTCCATGCTACTCTGCCCTTTATGTATTCTCCCCTGCCCACCGTACCTGCCATCTCTCTCCAGATGGGCTACGTAAGCCTGCTTTCTCTCTCGGGGCGGGCTCCCCATTCCCCCATTGGCTGCTAGGTACTGTCCCTTGTCGCAGTCTGGAGTCCTCCTTCTGAAGCATGGCAAACAGTGTTTGTGTGGTACTTCATGCTAGTTTCTCCTGAGTCCTGTAGGATGATGGTAATACATTGCCACAATTAACATCTTTAAATACCATTTAATCAATCTGCTGAAGCCCTAAGAAATTTTAATTAATGACAGCTTTATTAGTATTTACTTCACCTTCAACATGTAAGCTCTGGCAGTATTTCCAAGGGGAGGAAACTGGCAGAGCAGTTGACATGGCACCCTTTTCCCCTGACTTTTCCCTGCTCTGTTGGTCCCAGAGCTCACAGCCATCTCTCTGCACTGACAAGGAGATGTTCCTTTGGCAGGTCTCTGAGATGAGGGTCAAGTTAATGTCATTCCATTGCTATTTAGCTCTGCGCAATTCCCATCACATACAAGGTTAAATAAATTCACCAAAATCAAGCTCTGAAGGAGTGTTATTGCGGTGTCTGATTAATAGCACAGATTGTAGGGAAGTCTGACAGGAAAGCTGAGAGTTCTGCTCCGCATGGAGATCCCGTATCGCAGCCAAGGTCGCGGTGTCTCAGCTGCCAACCTTGAACGATGTTTGCGTAAAAAGCAGATGCTCTTCAGGCTTCAAACTTCACACGCACTTTTGAATACAAACCCACAAGGTTCTGAATTCCAGCAACAGAGCAGACTAATGCACTTCATCTCTCACCTGGCAACATGGCAAGATGCTGCTATTAAGATCATCAGGGTAAAGAAGCTTTACCAGGTTTTTGTGGGATTGAACCTGCTGTGGCAGGTGTCCACACAGATGAGCTCTGCCACCTGCTGCAGTACTCTGACAGCATATTTGCGCAACACCTTTCTCTGGTGCCCCTTACAACGAAACACATATTCCCTCTGTCCCTCTTGAGTTAAGCGCCATGGTCAATTAATAAGGGAAGAATAGGAGAAGGAAAAACACTATCAACATGCTATAAATCAAGCATATGGGCCTTGATTTCTGTTGTTAAAACTGAAATTAATCCAAGGAGCACTGGAGTGATCCCTTAGGTTCAGACACATTAACTCTGCGCTCCAAGGACGCTCACCAGATATCTGCACAGTAGAACGCTGTGATGTTTCCTCATTTTTCAAAGTGATATGATACAAAGCTTCAGGGTAGGGAGTCAAATGTTGCTGGTCAGGGGAACAAGGAGAGCATTAATCTGAAATGCAGATGAGTTATCTTTAAGCTTTGAGTGCTAATTAGCTATAGTATTTTGCAAAACTTAAATACTTGAGGCATGTAACACTAACTGAAAGCCACTTGTGAAAAAAGAGCACCCGTCATGAGCAAACTGGACTAACAATTGGAAGTGCTGTCCTGGTATTACCAAGTGACCAAGACTCTCACTATAGCAACTGCTATACAGGCTCCGGTCAAGTATCATAGCCTTAGTTTAAACATTTATTTACAGAACAAAATTAAACTAGCATATATAAAGTGTAACAATGCCCACTGATGAAAAGCTGTTTCTTATTGGTAACTTCTGCATTACACTGCTGGAATAATGAATTGAATTGTTTAAGGTCTAAGCATCGAGACTTATTAAACAATGTTATCTTAAATTCCCAAGAAGTGAACTGTTTAAAAGACCACCTAGCCCTACTAAAACGCAAATCCCATGCCTCTGCCTTGTAAAGCCCTACCTATTTTTTTCAGGGCCCCACAAGGAGCACGTGAGGGCAGAACTCTGCCCCGTTTCCTACCTCAGAGTTTAGTAACATGCTGGAGTTGACAGCAAGTCTGCCATCTGACTATGGTTTAAGGTTGCCTTCCTCTTCATCTACTTACTCTGATCACAAAGGTTACCTGCTACAGCCAGCACCCTCAAAGCGAGTCAGTGATGAAGAGAGGAGGGTCAGGCAAATATCCTGCTGGTCATCCCCCTGCCCTCCAACAGAGGAGTTATCTAAAGATTCATTTGCAACATGTAAATATTGACCAACACCTTCCGAGTGCCTTTTCGATCCAAACTTGAGTTCAACAGCCACAGTCCTGCGTAGGTTTTGTATTTCCCTACTCGCTCTACTACAAGCACCTCCTAGTAACTACACAGTGTGACTACACGCAAGACATGAGTCAAAGCGAGCGAGCTTTAAAAGAGCTCTCCTCAAAACTCTGTACCTGTTACAAAAACCACTCTTGCCTCAAAGTGCCCAAGCCGGCTCTCGGCTGCCCGAGGGCTGTGAGGCCGAGAGGCAGTACACTGCCCGAATCCTGTCTTCCGTGAAATCATCATTTCGCAAGACGAGAAAAAAAAAATGCATCATCATCTTTCTTCTCCATTCTTTCCACACTTCAGCAGTTAGTATACGCTTACGGGAATTAGTACTACTGTAGCTCAGATCCTAGGTATACAAGAACTCCTTTTATCATTACCCACCCATAAATATTCTTTTAAACAAATAAACCAGAGGATGCAGGATTCAGTTTTACTTGCTGCTTTCTCACAAGAGTCTTATCTCCAAAACCAGGGCAAAGGCACCACGCTTCAAAAACGCAGTGGTGGAAGCCTGAGCATCACCCACAGAGGAACTGAGACCCACACCGGCTGCAGGCAGCGCGGGAGGGGCTCAGATCCCGCCGCCACCGGCGAGACCTCCCGCTGCTTTCTGAGCCCCCAGCGAGGACTCCGCAGGGAGTCAGAGGTGCGCGTTTAGGAGGAAAATACAGGAGACGTGTCCGAGCAGCGCTGGGTTTCCCCGCTCAGCTGACTCAGAGCTTGTGTTTTCCAATTAATACGGCCCCCAAATCTACTGTCCTGGGGGCGAGGGACTCCAGCACTTCTGGGAAGCAAGCACTGCATAGCCCGGGGCCGAGGGGAAACCCAGAGCAGGACAACCACCCGCCTCTGCTTCCCGTGTGGGCCATGCCCCCCTTGCGGGCCGCCCCCTCGCAGCCCCCCGGGCCGGCTGCCCACCTCTCAC